AAATGACTTAGCTCAGTCTGCACACGTGACAGCGGCGAGGTCAAAAAAAAAAGCTCTGCTTTGGAAGATATCTCTGGTGTTTGCAATTCTTCTGCACTGACCAAGACCCTGACTTTTAACTACTGTATGTTTTCATAACTTAACAACAAATCCACAGGGAAGCAGCAGAGAAGCTCAACGCCTAACATAAGCCATGATCTGAACCGCCTAGATAACAAAATAAGACCAAACAGAAATCAAAAAGAAGGAAGCAGGTGTTATTGAATAGAGTTAACAGCAATCCAATCACCAGCTACATTTTCTGGGAGTTGTGTCCATTAGTATCCTGCCTGATGTTAACAGCTGGCTGGTTGGTAAAGACCCAATCAGGAACACAGCGTGCATTAGATTCAACAGTAGCGAAACAGACGTGCACAACCACCGTTATGTTAGTAATTCTCTGTCTAAATTGCCAGTTTTCACACTCACTCCAAAAAACAAGATTGAATTGTCTACAACTTTCGTCGACCCAAATAAATGTCACACGTTCACCTCGTAAACCTGTATTCTTTAGACCTGACCCAACGCTCTGTCTGCTGCAGCAGCCAGGACAAACCTCTACATTCAGCAGAACCATGACTGGTCAGCGCTGGTGGTTTTCCCACCATCCACCTTGTTTAAAGTGATTTTTAAAACCAAGTGATTTTCCATCGCTCCCAGTGAGGGAAGCCTCCAGAGAGTCTGGCCGGCACAATGACGGTGGGAAGCATAGAAGTTAATGAGTCCCAACATGTGATTGTACCTGTAACGAGCCCAGGTCCATCAGGGAAAGAGAGAGAGAAGAAGAGAAGCTGCTGTGGTTTGCTGGGTTCTTTTTCCCCCCCCCCAAAACTCAGTCTGCCTAGAAATGAGTCACAAACTAACCAAGCAACACAGTTCATAAAGAAGTGGACCCGTAAGGAAAAAAAACTCAAGGGGTACAGATCCACCATGTTTGCAGAAAAGCTGCACAAAAGAAAAACTCTACAGACAGATAAAATGTTTTACACAGCAAAATGTGCTGCTCGCAATTGGTCTCCCGATCGGGACAATACAGAAATAGGAAGAAATAATGCAGGCTTGCTCCACTGTGTGGTGGACTGCGTGCTGGATTCGTGCCGTCCTTGCAGCCCCCTTGCGAAAAGCTTTTTTGTGTGGTGAACCAACGTGGCATCTGAAATGTAACGCTGAAAGAAAACCCTGATTCAAAATACTGAACCTCTTTTTCAACTATCGAACAACACGGCTCTTGGGTCTGAAAAAAGTTCTGAAACAATAGACGACGTCATGGACAAAGTCAGTACACAGGAAAAATACCGTTATATGACAAAGCTCACGTGGACACCGCCGTTCAGCTGTACCCCGCATTAGATCAAAAACCAGGTTTGGTAGCCATGGGGTCAACAAGCACTACACACTGCACAATGCCTGCTGGACCGAGGTGGCGACCCAGACCTCCGGTCCAACCTCACAGCACCACTTGAAGATTGTCTGAACACCAAACAGGAAGTGCAATATCCCAAATCACACAAGAAGCTGCCACCTTCTAAAGGCTACAATGTGTGATAAAACACGCATCATAATGAAGTACCTGCAGGGTGCTGCAAGATTCCCCGAGTCTACCAAATCTTGTTCTCATATGTCAACGGAAACCATGTTTGGTTGTTTACTTATCACACCATTAAAAAGAAAAGTCTCAAAATTGTGATTGAAAAAATGATCAACTTCCCACTTCAACTCGTGAATCGCTATTTGACAATGGCGCAGTCGTAAGCTGGTACGAGTTAAAACAATTCATGCTCTCATACATAGAATTCAAAACATATCAGTAAGTAAAATATAATGTTGTCTTCTCACCAGTTTAAATATTTCATCAGGTTAAATTTAACAACCCATTTCCAAATATTTGAAGGCCTGCAGATATGAACAGAGTCCAGTAAGACAGCAGGCAGGGACCTAAAGTGTTCACCCTGTAATCGGAACATGTAAACAAATAATAATAATATAAAGAAATATTTGTGGACTTCATTGTCCAACATGGAGTAACAGCACGACACACGCAGTCAAAGCAGAGGATGAGTCCGTGGACGAGAGAGACATCCTGAGTGTGGACCAGTATGCAGATCCCTGGAGCCCGCCTATAAAAACCCAGCCAGGTGCCGAGGGGTGGTGGTGTCTGTGTGGTGTGGTGTGTGGTGTGGGTGTGTGTTTGCTGTGTATGAGTGTGGTCTGTTGTGTGTGTGGTCTGTGTGCTGTGTATGAGTGGTCCTGTGTGTTGGTCTGCGGGTGTTTGTCTGTGTGTGTCCTGCTGTTTGTCTGTGCGTGTGTGTGTGTGTGTGTGTGTCTCTGTCTGTGTGTGTGTCTGTGTGTGTGTGTGTGTGTCTGTGTGTGTCTGTGTGTGTGTGTGTGTGTGTGTGTGTGTCTGTATGTTTTCTTGCCCACTGCTTCCTTTAATTGGCTCTGGGCGATCAATAAAGTGAGCCCGGTATCGCTGTGGGACCCCCCCCCCCGCTCTCATTCACCTCCTCTTATCTCTCTTCTTAACTCCTCTCTCACCGCTCTGTGACTGATGACTTACACGGCAGGTCTGCCCTCGGAGGTGGAGCGTTTTCTGGAACCTTTGCTGTCAGTAGATGTGGATGGTAGTGTTCAGGACTGAGCCGATATCCTTCCACAGACCAGTTTGTCATCTGTTAACACTGTTAACAGGAAGCTGAAGCCTCTGGGAGTGGCAGCAGCCGCTCCATCAGTGCACCTCCTCTCTGGAAAAGGCTCATTTGTTTGACCCCCACTGGGACACTCGGAGCCCGTTCGCCTCCTCTCGTCTCATCTCACCCTCCTCCCTCCTCTCCTCCTCATCATAACAACTCTATAAAATCTAATTAGTTTGGCCCCTGTTGACAAGCAGCCTACTTTAGGTTAATATGTGTGTAAATGAGAGCTCAGGCCTCGCCGCGGTTGTGTGACTCTAACCAAAAATGGACATGTAAGGTTGGAGAGCAGAGGTTTGACTGCGTTTGCATTGGATAACAGAACGTGGAAAATGTCTGACAGGTATCAAAAATGTTGTTAAGGTGACTAATACTTCTCTTTCTGTGTCTAATAATTAAGATCGTTTTAAAGATTCAAGTCCCAATGAAGTGAAAGATGGGCTTTTAAGTCCCCTATACTCCAGCATCTGGCCCAACAATGACAAAAAGTTTCAGGTATTCTTAAATGGTATTTCAGTTTGTCATTTCTCCATAAAAAGTTATTGACACTCGGGGGCATACACTCATTTTGCATCCAATGAAAGGCTGTGCTGCTTATGACGCCACCAGAGCGCAGTGTCTCTAAGGGCTGATGTGTTACAGACATCTTTAGTTGGGCCTCACTGACTACTGGACAAACGCACAACTTTCTAACTGCATTCAGTGATTCTGGTGGAACTGGATCTGATTTTACACAGAAAATATTTTCAGATTAAACCCTCTGACGTCCCCCGGCTGCTCAGCTTCAGCTCTCTGTGATTTACAGTTTCCTGATGGACAGATTGATCAGTAGCCTTGCAGCTAACCTAACGGACCCAAACCCGGCAAGAAAAGCACCTCGGTATGACGACGAATCACCGCCTACTTCCAAGCTGTCAACTGTCTCACAAGAGAGCTTTGGGACAAACGAGTAAGTGGACCTTGAGTTGAGGTTCATGTGGAACGCGTTTTACTTTAATATTTATTTGTTCGATCCTTGTTATGATCTTGTACCAGGCACCACGGGATCCCACCCACAGAGAAACAGTACTGAAGAGGTCTCACTTACCGACTCCAGCTGGTCCATGAGCTTGACCAGGAACTTTCGGCACTCTGGTGTTTTACTGTCCAGCTTCATGCCCGTCTGCATAGCATAGAGCCGACCTGCAGGAGAGGACAGGAGGAGGGAGAGAGGCGAGGGGAGAGATGAAAGGTGAACAGAATCAGGCATCTTTTTTACTGCTCCGTAAAGTCCATTCCTCTACAGCCTCGTGCCAAGGTCTGGCCACTCATTTCCTTCACAAACCACACTGCACCTGAAGGAAAAAGGTGGAAAAGATCGTACGGAGGACTGTCAGAACTCCAACTCCCACAATCCCTCATCTGTCAATTAGTTCTGCTGCCAGATTCTTCTCCTCACACGATAAAACCTTAAACTCTCCAGCTAGATGACCTGAGCAGCAGCAGAAAGCCTGCAGGGACATCGGTCTGTCTGTCTGTCTGTCTGACTAACACTTTACAAAAGACTCATTTATTGGAGATTAAACCCGATGAAAGGAAAAACACCTGTTTAATATGTTGTTACACAGCAATTACTGACATTCTTTTATTTAGAAAACCCTTTGCAGATACCAAAACTGCTCAAATCTGTCACTGGATCCAACATGCAATCCTACGTCCATGTTAAAGGTGAGTGTGTAAGAATGAGCCTCCTGTCCCATTCATTCTCCATATATTCATATATATCCATACTCCATATATTCATATATATCCATACTCCATGTATTCATATATATTCATTCTCCATATATCCATACTCCATATATTCATATATATCCATACTCCATATATTCATATATATTCATACTCCATATAACCATATGTATTCAGACCCGTCGATGGTCGATGTCTAAAACATTACTTCATCACATTCTCTTGATAATTGGAGGTCATTTTTAAATGTTGAACAAAAGATTACCGGGTGTCAGAAATGTCTTTGTAATGTCTGTATATTTCTGGGAGTATAAATTGGACTTTTACAAACTGAGAGTTTATGGAAGCTGATGGTTTCCTCCGGTGTGTTTGAGGGTTGAGACTCGGTCTTTGGGGTTGAGGTGAGAATGAGGTTGTGTTTAGGGTTTGGTCAGGAGGGCAGCCATGCAAGAAAGGTCTGTTACACACACGTAGAAAAAACGCTGCACAGTAATAAAATGATTTTAAATGTTTCAATTAATCCTGTACACACACACACACACACACACACACACACACAGCTTCCTTCTCCAATTCTCAATGGGTCATTGTGGTGGAATAAAGTCTGAATCAGCAGTGAGCACAGGAGAATCACAGGGCAAATATACTCCGCTGTCTACTGCCGGCAAACAAACACTACAGGTTTCATCCCCTTAATCCACCCAGTGTGTGTGTGTGTGTGTGTGTGTGTGTGTGTGTGTACAGGCAGAATGTGCTTTGCCAAGTCAGCACTGCACTGTCAGTCTGAGACGAGGAGAAGTGGCTCAGATTTCCTTTTCCTCGGAGTGGGTGAGGATGCTGGGAGGATTATCAGCTGACATGGAGGCAGATTAGATTACCTCAACAGTTCACTTGTTACAGCAACAGGAGCGGCACAGAGCCGAGACGCGCAGTACGACCACAGCAGACACGCTAACTGACGTCCAACATTAACAATAGTAACAGGCGCTTTATCACAGAGGACTGTTTCAACTACAGACAGACCGCTCAGAGCTCAGAGGACCATCACAGAAAGGAAGGGGACGATTCACCATACCATCCACAGCCACCTCTTCCCCCTGTGCTTCCACAGTATTCACACATCAGGGGCCGTACAGTGGGAAGCCAACGTGACAGGAAATCAAGGCTGTGCGTTAGCGAGGTAGACCGCTCATCAAGTCATTGAGGATATCCCAATAATGCCGACTTACAACCATACACTTATCGGAGCGCTGAAACGTGCTCATATCAGAAATCCTCCCATCCCTAATCTCAAAATGGATTAATCAGGTACGGCAGTGATACTCAAAGGATTCACACATTTACCAGTTACCAAATGTTACATATCAGCCTTTTAGCAATGACACTCAATCTCTGCACAAAGTCCACGTACAGCCGGGGATTCAGTGGAAACGAGCCGATGAATTTGTCTTTTATACCAATCCTAAACCAATCGCTGTACGCAGGCTGCTGATATCAGCCGCCATCACGAGTCAAAAACACACTAGCTTCAGTTCCCGCCTGGTCGCACCGCTGGAAAAGAGAAGATTAACAGTTTTATCTGAATGTTGTGTTTCCAATAGGAGGACTGGCTGCTTTTCTCAGTTTCATAGCGTGTGTGTCATCCACTATATAACAGTTGACCACCAATTTAGCGTCCGAACTACAGTAACTAACTTTCTTTCTGTGTTTGGGGAGGCCTACCTCACAGTTCACACAGTTTATTGGACCTTATCTCATCTTACCCATTTTACCTTCCTTATAAAAGACAAATGCCAAAAAGAAAACAACCTTTAAACTTAACAATACTTTCTTGCACGCTGGGTGGAATTTACCCACAACAGTGAACATTAAACAGTTTGGAATTGAAGAAAATGTCGACTTCTGTTGAGCTTTCACAGCTTCAACCATCTGCTGCGGCGAGAAGAGAAAAAACTAAATGCGAACCATTATTTTCAGCTGTTTTCACACCCAGCTTTGTCACGTGTTAGAGTCTGCTACCAGAGCACGGTCCCATTCGGGGGCTCTCTGCTGTGTACGGGAAGCCCTCTGTGTCCACCTCCTGTTTGGAGTTTGAGTCACAGCTCAGTGTCGCTGTCCTGCACAGCATCAACACAACAAAGTCCCATTTCACCACCGCGCGCTGCCGAGCCCCGTACCACTCAGTGTTTCCAAAAACCTGTGACACACATGTATGTGGAAGAGGCAGTTCACCAGTCCGTACACACAGACAAGCAGTCCTGAACTACTGAAGCAGCCAGTAAGCAAGTGGGCCAGTTAGCCAGTCATCAAGGGACAAAGAAGCTCTTTGTGCCGTGCAGCCGTGCAGCGCTGCATTCACTGCGGCTGCTCACAGACAATGAAGTGTAACACAGAGGGCTTTGACAGCAGAGAGGATGAAAGGCCACAGAACTACGAGCACTCTCACACTTCCAGATGTGTTCCCCCAAAACCAGAGCCCTCTGGTGCTCATTAAAGGTACTGCGTGCTTGTTCTCACTGTAAACACGTCTCACTAGATCCATCATGTGCAATGCATTCAACTCACATCTGCATCTTCTTGTCTGGAAACCTGCCTCAGCTGATTGGAGGCTTCAGAACGACAGACACAACAGGCTCACAGCCGATCAATCAGAGAAAAGAAACGTTTCTCTCTCTCATTTCTGATTGTTTCACAGCAGTTACTTCAAGCTCAAACAAAGAAGCACACACAAGCTGAGAAAAGCACAGCGGGAAAACACTGGTCCACAGTGGTCACCTCTCTATGAGCAATAAGGCCTTTAACATGTGTCACTTTTGATCTTGGGATGAATGCTGATTATTTAACAGAGTAATGGTAACGGTTCTACTGGTTCTACTGGTTCTACTGGTTCTACTGGTGCTCTGTTATTCAGGTCCATTACTACGAAGAAAACAGCGTTTGCCAGAGTGTGAAAATGGCCATAATGACCTATTATCGTTACTTACTGAGATGATTGGCTCTTTGATGGTGCTTTCGGCTCTGCTGCACCTCTCTCCTGCCTGTCATGCACATAATTAGAGTACAAAAAATGCATTTTACTGCCAGTGTTTTAGCTACTTCCTATTTCACCTTGTATCATTCATCAGTGGAACAATAAGCTTCAGATGAAGGAGAACTGCTGCTGCTGCCAGTGCACGCACACAGAGAAGTAAATGTGCTCTTTTCCTCAATGTTAAGATGTCACATACCCACAAACCCACAGAAACAACACATAACTCACTCAGCCACAAAGACATGTCTCAATCCACGCCTCTGATTTCACTGTCATCAGTGTAGTTGGCCTAATGGTCGTGGTTCCTGAGACCTGGTATCAGGTATTCATTGAGTGCTACAATACATATTGGAGCCTGTGGAGTCCAGTCGATACCAATTAGTGCACAAATGGGAGTAACAGCAGGAAAACATGCACTGCACAGGCTCTCTGCAGAGATCAGTAGAAGCTTCCACCCTTCACACTAATCACCTGAGGGTAGCTTCTATCTACTGACAGTGGCCGATCTGTGCTCACGACGCCGATAGACAAAAGTCTTCAGACACACGTGCAGGCAGCGTTGTCAGTGCGGCTGCTGGGGAACAATGTTAACACTCCTCCCTGTGAGGTTTGGGAAGGTGGGGAAATAGCTGGCTTTGAACCATATGCCTGATTGTTTTGTAGAAAACAATAGAATCAGTCATTGAAAAACCCAAACTGGTCGACCTCTGAGTCCATCTCAACGTAACAGCTGTCATCCAGTGTGACGCTGTAAGAGAACGCTGGTGTAAAGACGCCGTTTGGACATTGGTCATGAAGAGTCTGTGCCAGGGACGTTACTATGGAGGAGAGCTGCGTCCCTGCGAGAGGAGACAGAATGTCACTGCTATTATCTCCATAAACCACGCTGAGTCTGAACATCATCCATAAAACACACACTGCTGAAAACTGACAACCTCAGACCTTTTAAAACCAAGTGTGGACAGCAGTCAGCAGTCACCACGGGCATGTGGGAGAAGTTTGCTCTCTTTACATAAGGATATCCTGAACATCACAGGTAAAACTGTCATCCAACTGTACGGAAACAAGGCTGACAAAAGGTTGTCGCACCACATCGCTCATACACGGTTCCCACTCTTTTTAGAAAATCATTTTCCAGGACATTATCCATTAGGTTTTCTTGACAATACTGGACAGCACTTGCTCCCAAGCGGTCATATAATTTATATATAGACATAAATATGACAGTCTACAGTACGTCCACTGAGAACTCTCTGAGATTTATGCTTGAGGCTCCGGAAAACTTCGAGTCGATGGCAAAAAGATGGCTGTAAGTCTGTTCTGTGTGTGTTTGAACAGCTACACTGAGATTGGAGCTGAAATGAAAGAAAAGTGTCTGATAAAGCAGCTTTTATGTGTCATACCAGACAGCTCATCCTAC